TTTGATAATTGTTAGGGTTGTATAGATGTTGGGTCAGATGCTGACATAGTTGTATGGAATCCCAAAGGAAAGCGCATTATTTCTGCAAAAACTCATCACCAAGCTGTTGATTATAATATTTTTGAAGTAAATATATTGTCATTTGTCACTACTATAAACTTATACCAATTTAAAAAACATACATTTTACTAACTTTTTTCATTTAGGGAATGGAATGTCATGGAATTCCCGAGTATGTATTAGTTGGTGGTCGTGTTTGTGTTGATGAAGGACAATTAAAAGTTGTCCAAGGTCATGGAAAATTTGTCCCCACCCCTACGCATTCAGAATTTGTGTACAACAATGAAAAGGTATATACTTTTTAAAATATATATTTAACCAATATTAGTAATTTTAATTAATGAACCCAAATAGTCAAATAATAAAAAAACATTAAATAAATCAGGATTTTTTTACAGTTTTATAATTTGTAACTCTCAGCTATAATTTAATTTATTTGTTTAAGAATGAATCGTTAAATTGTATAATATTAGTATATTATTGTGTAGTAGAATCTTGGTATCTGATAGATATCAGACCAGAGAACAAAGTCACTGGATTATTGAATGTTCATTTAAAATAGCATTTTTCCCTATTGCAAGACCTGCAACATTTTAATTTAACACATATAATACAAAATAATAACTAACCGATACACAATACACATGTCAACATAACTGAATAAACATTAAATATCTAATCTGTTCGTGCAGACTTTCTCGTCTAAACAGTTGGTTTTATCGTTTATGATAATAATTTTATGATTATTGTAGAGAAAAAAAATAGCTGGATTATCGCAAGGCTAGATTATCACAAGTCTACTGTCTCATTTATATTATAATAGTTTTACCTTTGAAGTTTTATGAGAATACTTTATCATTATAAAACTTTTTTATTTTTATATACAGAGTGATTTACCAACCATGCTGATCCCTATTTTTCCTTTAGTAATGAATTTATTCAAATTCTGATTTTTGAAATTTTTTAATATACTCAAAGACCATATTTTTAATTGTTTTGATTTTTTTTGTTCTACTTAATGAGTGTCCTGTGGAGATGCAAACTTCTGTTTTTAAAATGAGAACCCCCTTCTTTACTGTAAATTAAGTAGTGGATAATTTTTTTGAAAATATTTGAAGTACCACCTTCAAAATTTGTACTAGTAAATTCATTACTCTGGACGTTTTATCCTTAGAAAGTTAAAACTCAAACTTAAATAACTTAAAAACTACTTGTACAAATTTTGATTTTGATACTTCAACAATTTCAGAAAAGTTATCTACTGTGTAATTTATTGTTGAATAGGGGTGTTCTCATTTGAAGAACAAAAGTTTGTATCTTCACAGGACAATCCTTAAGTTGTACACAAAATTTCAAAAATTTGAAAATTTGGTCTTAAGAGGCTAGTATTTGGTAGCAAAATTTGTTCGTAAAACATGCTTTTGTACTTCCCATTTTCCTCAGATCTTGTTTGTCGTAGAAACATGATATTTTCACCTAAATAAACTTCAGAAGTTCTTCTAGATAACTACTTGCATTTTCTGGTTATATTTGCATTTGAAATTTTCAAAAATTCTTCAATATTTAAAAAAATCTATATATTTAAAAATTATAAAAATCATTTTGAATAACTGCATCATTGAAGAAACTAGGGGGTAAGCACGCTTGATGAATCACCTGGTATGCAGCAGTGCTTAATTTTTAATGACAAAGATATTTTAATTTATATTATTGTTTTAAATATGCACTCTTATTTTAACACTCATCTATTTTTCTTTTGAATATTAAGGTAACTGAACAAGAAATTATTGATGAAAGGAAAGAAATCAAGTCTTTGAAATTGCAAATTTCTCCACCATCGAGTGTTACAAGTGATGTGTCAATCTGTACAAAATCTCCCATGATTCATACAGGGAAAGGAATGCGTATGGAAGGACAGCGAGATCTCCAGAGCTCTACGTTTTCAATCAGTTGTAAGTAAAATTATCGATAAAAAATGAATTCATCTTAAATAAGTATTAAGTGAATAATGAGAAAAATGTTGATTTCAGCCGAGTTTAATGATCCTGTTAAGAAGTCGAGTATTCGTGTAAGAAATCCTCCAGGTGGTCAGTCTTTGGGTTTTTGGTAATAAACTTATGCTATTAAATTATATTCTACTCCTAGTCCAGCATTTAGAAAATCGAACATTATGTTGTCTTTAAGATTAATCCTTAGATTTTATTGATACTGCTTAAATTGCAACTCACAAATAATATATTATTCTGTACATTATTTGAAAATAAGTCATGTTTATTTTATCACAATTTTTAGTTTAATTGTACATTTTTATTTCTAAAAACCTATTAATAAACGGCATAGAATTTTTTTTAACTATTGATGTGCAATTAATTATAATCTATAACAATTAATATAAGTTAAAATTGATTGTTACTTTAGCTATGAATTTAAAGTTATTAATAATATGTTGTGTTTTGCTTGTTATCAGTATATGCATTTTATATGACTTACATACATTTATTATTAATTATACTCAATTGACTTATAATTAACATTTGTTTTTACTTTTTATTATATTATCTTCAAGTTACAATTGTAGTATTATGTATGACGAAATTAAATATATTTTTAAAAAATTCATAAAAAATTTAATTAAATAATTTTGATTTACAATTGTCGAGTTTATGTAGTAAGAATAATTTTAGGAAGTTGTTATACATTATGCAAGGCGTGCCTGCTAAGGAGAGCATGAGTATGACATTTGCCAAAAAAGTTAAATAAAAGTGAATACAAACAACATTGTTTAATATTGGCAAACTACTGAACAGAAATTGATAATTATTAATTAGTACTGAGAAGTGAGCAGTTATTCTTGAACGTATGAGTAGTAACTACCCAATAAAAAAAAGTTATTCATGTATAACGTATTATATGTCAAGCTAGGTTAGGACTGTTATTCTAGGTCTGAATAATAAAAATAATAAAATTCAAAAAATAAATTGTTTCTACCAAAGAAAGAAAAATCTAAAAAACGAATGGCTGTGTATGAATGATCACAGTATTAAAGTTAAATGTTTTTGGCAGGCCAGTTTTTCTCTACCCTGTTATAATCTATCAAAGTTATTTATTTATATTTATCATATTATACATTACATTATTAGGTTACCAATTTCAGCTATTTGTAATTAATTACATTCGTTACGTTGCATATTATATATTTCCAAAATTGATACCTAGAAAAGTTCCTTAGTGTTCCTATTGTTTATAATTTATATTAGCATCATGGATAGATTTTGGATATTTGGATTTAAATAACAAGTATTTTAGAAAAATATCAAATTATTTAGGTTTATTGTAAATAGACTATTAATTATTATGTTTGGTCTTTGAAGTTCTAGTATTATATTATATATTATAGCTGTGGACATACCTATTCTCACTAAACATTAACATCAAGTCACAGAATATATTATATTACTTATATATATATATTTACAGACAAGTTTAGACATTATCGAGAGAACAAAAATATTACAATGTTAGACCATGATACTTATCCCATATACGTTTACATACTTATAAGTTTGGAACAGATTTATATACAAATGCATTTACGTATTGGAATAAGCTATTTTACATTTGACGAGAATTGTCCCCTATTTAGAACATTCTTATTAAATTTTAGGTGGTCCCCAGAAAAATTTGAATATTATTTGCAATATTATTTTATTAACTTTCCAACAATCGCGTGTCGTATAATCACTATGTAACAGATTATAATTGTATTACGTTGCTGTGTAGATTCTGTATAGGCAGATAAGGTATTTATGTAAAAAAAAATTTAAAGCTTAAAGTGGTGACTATAATTGAGAATATGTTATAAGTGACCCGCAAGGTATAAAGGCGACCACTGAAATAAAGTATTGATGATAGGTCTATCGATTTACAGCATTTATAACAATAAATGTAAGACCGGCCATCAAATATAAAGATAAGGCAACTTTTGATCATCCAGTGCAATAAGGTAAGAAATGAATTAAATTTATCTTCACTTTTTATTAAGACTGCTTGAGAATATTATTGATGAATAAGATGGTTTCAATTAAATTTTAAGTACACATTTTATGGCATATTACAGTATTTTTAAAAGCAGTTTTGAGGATTTTTTCGCATATGAATCCATTTTCTACTCATTAGTCATTATAAATTAATAGATATTACTTATTACTATATTTTCATTTATTCAATTGAAGTATTAAAGTTTATAAGTATATACAGCAATACATTTTAGTACATACATTTATTTAAAAATTTAAGACCCTTTAAAATGACTAATTTATTGCCCATAAATAAGATGTAACTGATTTTTAACTAAGTTAATTTACTTTTATTTTTTAATTAACTTGTAACTTTTACAAGTTTATGAAATAGAAAAACAACATTTAACTAAAATTTAAAACAACTTTCATGTTTCTATTAACTTAATTTACAAAAAATAGTTACTATTCCAGTCAGTGCGATTATGAGTTACCATAATGTTCAATTAGTTCTAATATTATACATAACAGAGTTAAATGAATAATTCAGAAGTTAAAATTTGTTATATTTTGAGTTAGCAAGACAGAAATTATAGTAATAATATTGACAAAATCACTAATTCATTGTAGTATGTTACAAACAAGGTAGGAAATCCAACACTGGTTAACTTTGAAACAAAATATTAAGTTGCACAAATATTTTATTTTGTTATAAATTTCATTATTTTCACCACAAACAAAGGATTCTAGCCACTCAATGGTCAATAGAATATTACCATATAATAGTGAATAGAGTATGGTAAGTAATGCATATTTTAATTTTTGACATTTAAACATCCAATATGAAATTTCCCATAATTTAGGGTTGCATTTAACTAATAATAATATCATGAAATATCTTACAAAAACTTATAAAAGTATAAATATAATTTCATTTTTTTTTGTATTACAAAAAAAAACATAAATTGGTCTTTTATATTATTACTAATTTGTTATTTCCAATTGAAATTATTTGAACTGTTGAGGTTGAGGTCCAAATAAGCCACCACTTTGTTTATTAGCCATTCTTGATGGAGCAAATCCTAATAGTTTTTGAATATTCTATTAAACAAAAAAAAATAACCATCAATTAATTTTTTATACAGTAATTTGTATTACGCGGTTAAAAGTATTTTGAATCTTACTTGACGTATTGACATGGTACACAATATATACAAGAAAATAAATGAACATTCTGTGTAATTATCACCAGGTAGATTTCTATGTGATAAGCCCTGAACCCAGGGAATTGGTGTAAAAGGTAATCTTGCTACAACACGTCCATCAAAGCTACGTATATGAAATATAATTTAAATATTTAAAATATAATTTGGGAAATGTACAAATAAAACTCACATGCTGTTGAACATGCTTAATAATGCAGTAAATGCAAAACCAATGGCAAACATGGACTTCATTTTTACCATTGACAAATCACGATTGTTAATTTTAAGTTTTTCTTCAACACGTTCAATTTTTTTCTTTTGTTGTTTGTCTACAGAGTCTCCATGAGCTTCCTTACGTTTTTCAACTGAAATAATAATGATAATTTATTAATAAATTATAAATAGATATGTAATGTTTTGCAAATGTTTAAAAACTTACGCTTTTTACTAGATTTTTCAATTTCCACTTTCAATTTTTGATATTTTTCGGTTCGATATACTAATAACCATGTTAACCCTGCAAAATATTTATTTTTTACAATTTTTAATATTTTTGAGTATAAAATATTAATGCAATGAATTACAATTTGCAATCATCATATTCAGTAAAAAAATTAGACTATTACACTTCAGTTCAGATTTATAAAAACACAAATAATAACATTATCCAGAAAATTAAATTTATATACTTATATATATGTATATATATATATATATATGTAATATATTGTAAGAACATGATAGTATATGATACAAACGATGATTTGCTTAACATTCCAGTTGCGTATTGTAATGATTATTCCACTAAATAGTGAGTATGTTAAAGGAGGCTGCAGTCTGTACAAATAATCATTTAAAACGGGCCAAAAAGCTAGGCAAAACTGTGGCCCTTGGATTTGATGGACTTAAATTTTGAAAATATTCAACACTTCTAAAGCATGACAGAGGCAATTTATCATTATTACAAATTTGAATAGCATAATAAAATTAAAATTCTTGTTTTAGAATTGTTAATAAAATCCTTTCCGTCATTCCCTAACCAACATAATGATTAACTAATATCCATTTTCAAGATTAAAATCTATGTCCCTCAATTTAATCTAGCATTTTGGTCTAGCAGCCATTTTTTAAAATTGAAAATAAGTTATTTAATTTAGTACCATTGTCAGTGCGTACACAAGTTAATTGACATCAATTAAAAGTAACAACCGACCTACCTAGAGGTATTATGCGACCCTACTGTTATATCTTATAATTCAAGGTAATTTCTAGGAAATATTAACCGAGAACGATTACAGAATAGTCACACACAATTATGTGAGTTTACTTTGCATATACTTACAAGTTACTTCAATATTATCATGTAAAATTGGCTATATTAATTTCTTTAAAACACAGCCGGCCAATTGCATTCCCCATAATTTATTATATTGTAACATTAATTTGAATTTTATGATTTTCAGATATTATTAACTACAAAGACTTGTTGGTTGTAATTACGGTACTTGTTTGTTATCGCCCCGCCAGTACAACGTTAAAAATTTATCTCCCCGCCACTATTGTTTGCTATCGCCCCGCCATATAGTTATTTATGCGTAGTAAAAATAATGCTGGACGTATTCTGCCACAGCAATGGATTTTGGGTGGGATATGTCAGGAAACCAAAGCGTGTTTTATAGTGAGTGTACCTGATCGATCGGAGAAAACATTGCTACCTATAATACAAAAATATATAAGACCAGGCTCAATAATTATGTCGGATTGTTGGAAAGTTTACAATAATTTGCAGCAAGCAGGATTCAAACATAATACTGTTAACCACACGTATAATTTTGTTGATCCGGACACAGGGGCACACCCAAAACATTGAGAGGTAGTGGGGATCTGCTAAAGGGGGAAATAAAAAGCGTCGTGGAACTAATAGAAATTTTCTGGAATCATATTTGGCAGAATTTAGTGGAGAACACGTCTTGGAAAATATGATGCATTTGAAACAATATCAAAAGATATTTCTGAGTTCTGGCCTCCTTTGTAAATTTAAAGTTTTTTTTTTAAATTTATAATTATAGTACATTTTTATATTAATTTTTTTATTGTTTATTTTATTATACTATAATATATTTTATTTATGGAGGGGCGATAGCAAACAAGAGTGGCGGGGAGATAAATTTTTAACGTTGTACTGGCGGGGCAATAACAAATAAGTACCGTAATTACCATTTTAATTTCATTTACACCAGTCATATTATTGTGTACCAAATATTTATAACTAATGTTAAAATACCATTTGATTTTCAAGTTACTAATAGAAATTCAACGAGTGCCTAAAATATTAAATTTTCAATATAAAAAAGGAATGAATTAACCTAATTGTATTCAAGTATACTTGATTACCTGAGTTAATTTCAAAATTAAAATATTTGATAAAATGTACTAATATTAATATTACATGCCAATAAAAAGGCAAGGAAAATGAATTTTTTGAAATGTGTACATATTAGGCTATTTTTTTCCCACCTGAGTTTCTATAGTTGACTATTAATGTGTTTATTGTTATTTTTTATTTGATAATTATTAGATTGCTAAACAAAAATCTGTTTATCAGTGTATTTAAAAATGTTTTGATTTCTAAATAAAATGTATGCACAAGTTGAAAAAGAGATCCTTTCCTTTATTAATTGTAGACCAACTCTCTGTAAGCAAGAATTTTTGTTTGATTTTACACTACATAAGCAAAATAACCAAAATAAGCACATGATAAGAAAACACTAATGATAGCATAACACTTGATGAGTTGTTTTCATCTAGATCATTATTTAGAATGCTCTACATCTACGGTTCATTTGGTGGAATTAACTTTCTTAATCCCCTACCACTGGAAAAATTTGAGTGTGGGACACCATGCATATTTGTTGTTTCAGTATATTTGATATCAACACATAGAACATACACAGTGACCATTAATTTTAAAGTCTGTCTATCTAGAGACACATTCTAAACCACACCTACCCTATATCAAAAAAAATTAAAAATTGCACAAAAGCCCATTCATGTAAAATCATATTTATCTAAAACGCAAATGCAATCAGTTTAATTTTAAAACAAAACACAAACACTATAATCAATATACCCACAGTTGATAAAGCTAAATTTACCTTCTCCTAATAGAGCCGTACAAATTGAAATAAATACGATGAGAAATGTATCGGACCACATTGTTCAGCGTTCTAATGCATTGAGTGTTGAATAGGTGGTAGGTATTTTCGAGTTAAATGTTGTTATATTGATGGCGTTTAGACGATAACCAATACGGAAATCATCAAAACACGGTTCGAAGTATTTTTACTACAGAGTACAAAACGGTCGAAGCCGTTTCTGAATGATTCTCTCAATAAGAATAATTCCACAAACTCGAATTTCTGTTGTCGTTATCATCGTGATTTAGTGATAACTTGTTATCACGGCAGTCGTGTCGCCGCGTTGTAAGACATTGATTAAACACGTCTTCAGTCTGTCGTCAATTGGAACAACCGTTCATGCCATGAAATGTTCTGTCAGCCGATCGGAATCCCATGTTTTGAGTTCGTCAAAATTGAGAATTGTAGTTTTGCAAAATGTAATAGGAATGCCGTACTGGGTCCTTACGTTCGGTACGATTGTAATTCGCATTTACGACATTATCAAAATTTTAATTGTTATTACCATAGAGTATATAGACTATAAACTAGTTACAAATTTATAATTTGTATTTGACTTTTTTATAATCAACGTCCAAAGTCATGGAACAAACGGTTCGTATTGCCGAAGTGTGAGTGTGTGACTATCCGACAATCGGGCAAACGCGGTTACCGTCTGATTTTGGCCGCCCGGTACGACCGGTGACCGTGAGGGTTGCAGCAGTTTAGTAGGCGACAGTTGTAGTTGTAGCGGACGTTTCGATCGTTCGCACAATTGGAAGGTGGATCAAATTGTTGCAACCTATTTTTGATTCCGTTTACACAATTTTTCAATTTTTGAAAATTTCCTATACATTTTTTGCAATAAAACTCAAAAATTATTGAAATCGATTAAGTTAAAATTATTTTTACACGCTTTACGCGGGCGACATATTCGATGTTTTCTCGAATACGCGACGAAACCTTACATAGACAGTGTCGCGCCCCATTCGTAATCGTCTGGAAATCATGTTTTAATGTTCCTTATCATTTTTGTTTCATTATCACCTCGCTCCGATTCACTTCACCGTCGTCCATCCGGTCCGGCGATCCATGTTTCTTAAATTATTAAACATTTTTTTTCTTCTCAAATGTGTGACTTTTAAAAGTTTATATTAATAAATACAAACACCAAAAACACCAACCATGTATTCTGTTTGGCGACAGTATCAATATGTCTATAGAAATACAGTAAGTACATTAGATATATAGTATATTTGTATAGTTAGATAAAGAAATACAAATATCGGAAAATAAATCAATGTAAATGAGGTATTCTCTGAAAATTATTATATTTTATTGTATATATTTCCTAATATTATAACTAAACAAAATTCACTTTCACATATGTAAATATTAACATGTCATTGATTTGATAGTGTATGATACAAAGTGTAGGTATTGATTTAAACTCATGGGTCAATACATTAACCAAAATTTTGTCTTAAAAATAATCTTCATGGTCTAAGTTATGCCTCTGAGTATTGTACTTGCTTAATTTATTCGATATCTCATATAATATTTTATGTTAATATATATTTTAGATGTTTCTTTAGATATTCTTAAGGGGTTTAATGTTATTTATTTCATAATCTAGTTTCATATTAGTTGTTAAATTTAATATTCCTTTTTGTGTTCTTTTTTGGCGTGAAAAACTAATTATACCTAATTTTATTTTTACCAATAACTTAATTAAATTGTTTTTTGTGTTATATGTATATTTCATTAAACTTGGTATTCCAGCATTGCCTGAAGTATTATTCAACTTCACCTCCTCAGAAACCAAATTTTGTCATGCAACTGATCTATAATATTAGAGATGAGATTTCTAAAAGCAAAGAGATGAAAAAAAATTTGGAACAATTTCGTGCTGAAAAAAAGAAATTGGAAGAATCTGATAACTTAATTAAAGCTAGGTAATATGATTATAACTGTTCTGTTAATATCTTGGTGATTAATTTATAAACATTTTAGACAGAAATTAAACACAATAGAATCAGAAACATTCAAAGTGACTCAACAAGCTAAAAATGTTGTTAATGTTGTTATGACTTCAGTTAAGAAAAAAGTAAATGAAGCTAGTGAATCTGATTTGGCAAAAAAAGCAGGTAAAATTTTCACTGATTTAATATAGTAAAATGTATTTAAACGTCTGAATTATTGTGAATTAAGGACTATTAAGTGGAAGTATAAGCAAAACAGTACTGGAAAGTGGAACAAAAATTGGTCAGTCTGGTCCTGTCAAGACTTTTTCTAGTACTGCTGAAGCTATTTCAGCACAAATAGAAAGTGATACTTCATTAAATTCACATGTAAGTGTTTATATTTTTAATATTTAGTATTTATGTAACAATATTGATTTCCCAACTTTTAGGTTTATAAAGCACCAAAAACTTTAAGAAAACGGTCAGACTTGGGTCACCAGGGAACAGTTGTTCCTAATGAAACAGAGACTGGTATTACTGTTCATAAAGACTCAATGTAAATACATTTTATTTAAGTATTCTAGTTATATGGTTATTATTTAATTTATTTAGTTATATTATAATATATCTGAGATAGGGCTGCCATTACTATTTGTATGTTATTAGATAATTCCTAAGTTACAAGTTCTTATAGTTGTAGAATTTTAACCAATATTTATCTTATAATATTTTATATTTCCTGTCAATAATACTATGAAAAGCAAAAAGGTAGATAGCATTTAAGATTTAATGAACTCAGGCTTTCAAATTAACTTGGACTGTATACCAGTGGTGGTTTTGACAAATATTTTTACATGAGGCAACCAAATATTTAATGTACCATGATTCTTCTGTGATGTATAATATGTTTAGGTATTTTTTTAAATTTAATACCATTTAATGGTATGGGTTATGCAGTTATGCTATGGATAATAGATGAAAGATTAGCCTGTACCCAGTTATTAACAATTAATTAATTAAATCCCTATCAATATGTCCTACATAAATTCTATAAGCTATAACATTGTTGAGTAGTTGATTTTAATAACCTCAGGCTTTGTTCTGCGCATTCTCTATTCACACTATTTTACAAGCTTACGTGTGTGCGTAACTACCACCTCAGTCAACCCTAGCGCAATAGCGGTGGCAGCGTCGAGTGAATTATTAAATGGAAATGGCTATAGCTAATAAGTTACATTACAGCGACGCACAGCCATTCCCTTGTTTGTGCAAGTTCAGAGTTCTATACAATGTTTAATATACAAAATGTTGACATTTATTTATTTAACTTAAATTCTTAAGCAAAATGCGTTACTCAAATTCAGTAGAATTAAATTCAGTTGATTTGCAATATTATAGAAATTTAAATGATAAAATAATGCTTATAAGCACATTTTTATTGGTAAAAAACCTATTAAAATTATTTAAAATAACAGTACTAAAATTTCAAACTTGTTTTTCAATAAAGTGTGACAAATAACCTTGCCTTTTACTATTAAGTATAATTTACGATTGATTTTCAAACACTATTACCTTTAATTATGTAATTATATTCATATTAACTTTTAATACTATCCACATACGTACATCTATACTTGTGCAGTTGTCGGTCTCATTAGTTTTCTTGTATAGTTTTACCAAAAATAATATTTTAGGTGCTGCACTAAATTTAAATTATACTAATACTAATACCCAATCTAAATTAAAACTCAATAGCATAATATTTTGCTTCATAGAAATGAACAGTGTATAATCATTTGATTATTTGATTTAAAATAATAGTATGATACAAAAAATTACATAATTACACATAACACATTATAATTTTTAATAATATTTTACTCTAAAACATAATTGCAACTGCTAGGCCCCTAAAAGCTTAAAGCTCTATGAAATTTCTTGCGCTGCTTACCGTTAACACCTTCCCGGAATTTTAAGATGGCCAACTTAAGGGTAATTTTTCTATAATCTAATTATTTTTTGTTCCGTATTCATTTATTTTTTGATGAAAATTGATGAAGTCTATATTGTATTAGTTGTGAAATCATAAAAGTTATTTGTATATAAATATATTTATTTATTTTATGTAAGAATATATTAAATAAATGTAACTACCAACTTCACCCTTACTTTTATATTATGAAGCCTTAAAGTCAACAAAAAAAATTCTTGTTAATGATAAATGTATTAAATAGAATAACATTGATATGTGTTGTATAAATATATAATACTCACCTGTATATTCATTTGGCTCACAAAAAAATGTTGTATGGAAATGTCGTTGAATTTAAGTATTAAATGAAATGCTTGAGCAAATCATATTATTAATTGTATAAAAATCTATTGAATAAAACTAATAACCTAAATAGTTGGCTGTCCCTATGTTTATTTATAGATATACTATTTTAGATGCGTTACGATAAAAATTTATACTAAATTAAAATTTAGAATACATTTAAAGCTTTAAAGTTTAATATTGCTGATATTGAAATATTGTTTTGATTATAGGATATATGAAAGTTGGAAAAAATTCAAATCTGAAAATGTATTTATGCAAAAATTATCAGACCTAAAAGAACGGTTTGATGACAGTGATCATGTTTTAGCAAGAGCTACACGTTCAGTAACTGACACTTTATCATCAGTATTTCATAATGCTGAAATGTCAGATGTAGTAACAGAATTGTGTCGTGTTGAACCTGATTTCAGTTTAGTAAACTTTATCCGTCAGTGTGAAACTGATATCATACCAAATGTGCTAGAAGCTATAGCACGGGAAGATCTAATCATTTTGAAAGACTGGTGTTTTGAAGCGCCTTATAGAGTACTATCACATCCTGTTACTGAGCATCGACAAAAAGGTCATCAAACATACTGCAAAGTACTAGATGTACATAATGTAGATGTTGTTACTGGAAAATTAATGGAACACGGACCTGTATTAATAATATCATTTAGTGCCCAACAAATCATGTATATTAAAGATGTGAATGGGTTAATCATTGAAGGAGATCCTCATACTGTTATCAGAGTGATGTATACTTGGGCAATGTGTAGAGATGTTAATGAAGTAAATCCAAGAGCTGCATGGAAATTATTAGACATAGCAGCAAATTCCAGTGCACAGTTGTTGTAAACTGTAATTATAAGTTTAAGATTATTTGTGACAAAATATTTTATTTCTCAAATATTCTTACTGTTTAAGTAAATTTCTGTTTAATATTTGATCAATTATTGTTCAAAGTTAACAAAGAACTGTATTATATTAAGGTCATACCTTAATGTGTTGTTACTTATTTAGTAAAATTCTAGTTGGTTTTTATTATTTCAACGTGAATTTGAAAGAAATCCTTTTTTCCATACAATTTGTCTTTCAACAGCTATTTATAAAGAAGTAATCCAGGAAAATTGTATGTACTTAATGTCTTTATTGGAAGATCAAAAAGTAAAAGAGATCTACAAATCAAACATCAATCACCAATCAGACACCCTATACAGTCTTTAAATCTATTAAGTATTATACACTAGCTATTAATTTGACTCTATGCCATGTAGTACTTTTTCCAAATTTAACTAGAACAAGCTTTTTTGAAGTCTGACCAATGGATTGTGAATTTAATGGTGCATTATAATTTATTTTATTTATAACAACAAATAAAATTATTATTTGATAGGTACCCTACTTCTATAACAACTAAAAATGTACAACTTAACTGTTTTGTAATTTTCCTCCAGTTAATAATTATAATGTTTTGTAACAATAAAACCACTTAAATATGTATCAAATACTTTAAATTATACAAAATAAATTCTTAATTCTGTATATGACTTGAAATATCCCATTAAATGATTAAATTTTCAAATGTTCTTATATATTTTAGATTGTTTATTTTAAAAATATGAATAAATAGATATGCTTCATTAAAAATGATTTCTTAGATGAATTTATGAAAAATAAAACTTTATTTATTAAAATAATAAAATATCATATTCAATTTTGGTATGATTGGATAAAATGCTTAGTAAATCACATTTTCCAATGCAATAAAAAATAACATTTATATGCATGTATACGCATTACTTTCATAAATATGTAATAATATTATGTAGTATTTAGGTCTGTTGGAATGTTAATGTACTTATATCTGTAATCTAATTTGTATGTATATTGAATGTATTGTAAAATATGCCGTCAATAATGTTTGATAGTAAGTATAATAGTACTTACCTACTCGCAATTAGGGGGGCTTAGCCTCATCCATTGTTTTTTAATCATATTTTAGTTCAAAATATCAATTATTATGGTCTATGCTACACTACTGCAGCTGCTGATACAACACTAGCCCCCCAGAAAAATGTCCCTATTTGAGCCTATGAACACCTACCTAATTCCTAAAATCATTAAGCCCAGAGACTCCTAGTTGGAATTCATAACACCACAGACAAAGTAACGAACGGCTTTGTATGGCGAAGGGACGAGTGTGTTGTGGGTAAGACATCCAAACGTGCTCCATATACATTTAATAGAGGTAAAATTGTAGTCGTCAAAAATGTGTAAAATGCTTTTTCTCAACATTCCGTCGGCTAAGCAGTCATTAAATCGTTACAGACGAATGGCGCACGTATGGAAAGCGAATGCATCGTAAACATAATTTAACTTTATACCTAGTTCTGTGTATGTATATATAAAAATGTATTAACGTTGTACCCCTTTGCTTGCAGTTTGCAGTAATCGCGTAAAAATATACTTAGTAGGTACTTACATTAGGTATATTATGTTAACTGATGGTAGATAACGACGGAGAGCATTATAGAGCTGCAGTACGTTGCCCTCGCTGACTGCGGTTATCACGATTTCGTCTATGAGCTGGCGGGATGGGCGGAAAGTAAGTTTCCACAAGCTCGCGATAATACGTACTATTATAGCACAATAATTATTATTATATTTTAATAGCCACTCGCACAATTTCATCGTCCAGAGAATATTATTCTGTGTGCATGCCTCGTTATCGAGTGTTATTTTTGTACTGAGTGATAAAATTATATAAATAATATGAACTTACATTATGCATTTAAGAGTCAACAGGTACAATTTAATGTTATAATATTACATTGAATGGTTGTGAATAGTATGATTGTATTGATGTATATAGCCGTATAGTTATTTAATTATATTATTAATAAAAAAAAAAAATATATTAAATAATTTATGATTAGGTACCTATTATTATTGCTGTAAAATCAATACAATCACCACTCCGATCAGAACTAAAATAAATAAATAATACTAATGATAGGAAAAATGTATTAAAAGGTTAAAAAAAGGTCCTTTAAAAATTAATATTTTAGAATGTTGAACAAAATTCAGTTTTAAAAGTTATAAAATATTTGTTATAATTAGATTATTGGAAAGGATTACATTTTATAATCTACCTAAGTCTTCCCTGATTTACAATATTGATGGACTTCGTGTTAAATCAATCAGTTTTATTTTGGAAATTTGCGTTTTAAATTATCCGCGTAGATATTTATTTGATTAAAATTTGTTTTTTATTGTACCAACACTACCAACCTATGTCAATTTAAAAACGATTGATGAAATTAAAATCTTTTATTTCCCTTTATACTTTCTTTAGTAATTCATGATTAGCAAATCAGCTCGGTATGAAAATCAGTAACGACCTATACATAGCTCAACTTCGAGTTACTTACACTTACAACTTCAAATTAGCGAATTCAACGGTCCAAACTCCAAACTATCTGCTCCCGTTTGTGGCGGGATAAATGAGTTTTAGTTTTGATTCTGCATGTTATTTAAATTAAAACAAATTATATTTTTTTATGCGTTTTTTGATGTTCTTAATTTTTTTGGTAATTTTAACTTTTAAACATTGCCCTATATCTATTTGTGATCTGCAATATTATATTAGATCGGTGCAACATTGTTCATTTATTAATAAGTAATACACTAATACCATCATTCATCATTGATTATAAATGTAGACTACCCAGCACCTAGCTATTCTGCTCTAGTATTTATAATCTGTGGTAATACGTTGGTATAGTCCCTACACAAAACAATTTTGTCAATCTACTTAACTATTTTGATTATTTTTTTAGTATAATTTTTGTAATTTGTTAAGGCATAAAATAACTACTTACATAACTGATCCATCGACAAAAAACCAAAATCCAAATATTTTTACAAATTCGATATTTTTCCTATGTATTAATATGTATAAGTGCCCCGCCCGTGTTAAGGGGTAATGCCGCCCCAGCCCTCACATATTTTGCAGTCTCATATAAGCTTATAACCTATATAGTTTTATATAAAGTTAAATTAATTTTTGTCGAAAAAATTGCATTTGAAAATGTTATTGTCTGTATAAAATATAAAAATATACTTCTTGTAAAATTTTCAAGTACCCACGAATAATATTTTTAAATTACAACAAAATAATAAGTACATTTTTAATTTGAGAAATTTTGTCAAAATTTGAACTCTAAATGCTTCTAAAAGAAATCTTGCCAATGAATTTTTTATAATTTAAACTGATATTGTATAAAAATGTGTGAGGAGCCTTGTATTAATTTTTCAAGCTTTTGCATCCAACAAATAAAATTTTATTGATATTTAAATTTTAAAATACTAAAACATTGAAAAATTTGAAAATGTCCGTGGCATAAATAAGACTTATGAAGCTTGTCTAATGTAAAAACAGGGTATTTGACGCTTAGCAAGGAACGAATCGTTTTCAAACTTTAAAGGCAGTGTAGTGGAATAACGACGGAGACTAACAATGATTTTTGAAGCATTGACTTGACTTTTATTTTACAACTTTTACACCATTTTGATAGTAGGTATAGCTTATTAGATCTCATTATAATTAAAAACATATTTCATATAGGTACTTAATACTTAAATATTTTTACATTTATACATTTTATATCACTGATGGAAAGATTAATTTATAACGAAAAATCCCTAAAAACGTTATGAAGAATTTATATGTATACTGCCTTTAAGATATTTAAAACATATTCTAAAGACTGATATTACTATGTTACGTTTTATTTTAATAAAATAGAAAAGTAATACTTATAAGTTGATATAAGAAGAATTTATACAAGTAAGATTTTATTCTTATACTCAATTTTCAAACTTCATTACCTTGTAAGTTATAAACAAAAATTGTATCATAGGTACTGCATAAATAAAAAAAATAATTAAAAGCCTATAAATGTTCTTTTAAATGCTAAAAATTAGTATAAATATTTTTAAAACTTAATTGCTTGTAGTACTGAGTATAACAATATAAAAAATAAACATTGACGATATTTGGAGGGGGCAGAGCGTGATTGGCATCACCAATTTTTTAAAATTAATATCCTCATAATTTATACTATTTGTGGACCACCTAAAAAATGAAGGGGTTTTAGCACACATAAATTTCATTAAAACGCTACTGACAATACAAGTGGAATATTTCAATTTTCTATAATTAATATTTTTTTCACACATTAAAGGTAGGTACAATAAAATAATAAAACTGAAAAAAAATTTTTAATTCACATTTAATTCAGTTAATTTATTTTAACTTTAAACTCTCGTGAAATATTAATAAGGCTTTATGTTAAAATTGTATTTTAATTACAGTTAGAAGTGAGAACCAATTTTGAGAAGTATAGTATTACATTTTCAGTTTTATGTTTAAAAAAAAAATTAATAATCGTACAAATTTTCATATTGTTGTGATTCTACTGAATTTGAACTTAAAATGGTTTAAAAAAAATTGTGACTGGCCTGATTATTTGAACTCGTAGCATATTCAAATGTGAGTTGTGTTTAAAAGCAATCAATCTTCATCCTAAAATTTCACCTCAACATTTCGGCTGGTGTTGGGCGGGAGGAGGAGGAGGAAGAGGATATACACTAACCCTAGGCATAGTTTATGAAGAAAAAAAATGGAGGCCCCACAGGAAAACTGCAACCGAGGCCTTTTACAAGTCAGGCCCCTACTCTGGTANTTTAAAAAAAATTGTGACTGGCCTGATTATTTGAACTCGTAGCATATTCAAATGTGAGTTGTGTTTAAAAGCAATCAATCTTCATCCTAAAATTTGACTCATTCACAATCTATGAAAATAATTACTTAATTTAATAAAATTTAAAAAGGGGCGAGGTAATATAAGTGGGCGACGCTCTGCTGCTCCTAAACTACTACTCCTAACCCAGTATAGGTTACACGTGGGTCACTGTAGTGGATAGTGTTAAATTTGATTTCAGTGATATAAATTAAATATTATCTATGTACACGGAAAATGATTCTGAGCGTTTCTAAATTTAAACTTAAAACAACTATACAAAAAAGTGTGCTTTTATTTTTTTTTAGATTTTTTGGTTGCAGAATGAACTACTTACGTGGAACCTTGTTTTAAATTTTC